CCCACTCAAACCACTTCAGACAGCCCCCGGGTTTTTTTTCTGTCTGTCACGTACCATGAGCTGCTACTGTAGAAATAATTGGTAGAGAATAATTTGTATTGTGCCATCACAGTTAGCTCTTCTGGGATTGCACATTATTTTGATCCCAGAATTTATTTAGTAATTTTTCTATCTTTTCTTATCCTTAAATTTGTAAAATATGTATCCAGGCGTGCTATTGTCCAGAAATGGGGCCTTGGTGGGGTATTGGGATGTGGGAGTTGTGCTGCCCTTKTCTGGAAGAGTGAGTGAGAAGCTGGGATATTCTTTTTCACTCAGCCCTGCGTGTAAGAGTAAGAGCCTCTTCAAGTTTCCTCCTCCTCCCATGCCTCAGCACCTCCTGTGTGATTTGGAGATAACTCTGGTTTTGCCCACRAGGTTTCTGCTGTGATCAGAAAAATGTGTGAATAAACCACACCCAGCACAGAGCACTGAGCACCAGAATTTGGTCATGTTCCTTACCAAAGCAGAAAGGTTATGGATTGTTTGCCGTAAGTTTTCTTTTATCACCACCGTTTTGTAAATTAATCACTGTTTCATGCCTGGATAAATAATAGGAGAGACCAACCCACTCAGYACCTGCATCCATATAGCCAAAGTCAAAGCCCAAGTGTGATCAGAACAGATTGAGAGAAAGATGCTGTGAATTACCTGGTCTCTTGTCCTTCCAGTTCAGGATTCTGCTGTGTGAGTAATCAAAATCCAGTATGTTGATAGCATCTTAAGACTGTATGGGCAAGTTAGTTAGATCGTTGCCTAAAAAACTCAAAAAAACAACAACAAAAAAATACCCCCCCCCCCCCCCCCCGAATCTTTACAGAATATTAAACAATGACCATGAAAACTAAAACTTACAAATCATCACATTAATGGCTGTGAAAATCTTGGGATGAGTGCTGTTGGGCCCCTGTGTTGTGGTGCTGGTGGTTGGTTGGTGTGTCCAACTGGCTCGGGGGTGTTTTTGGGACCTGAGGCTCCTGAGCTCTCATTCCCTTTTCCAGGCCCTGGCAGGGACAGGCAGTGGTGTCAGTGAGCTCAACTGGGACAAATTCATGTGACAAACAGAGAAAGAGAAGGTGCAGATGTTCCAGCCTGGAATGTGGAGTTGGGCAGTTTGTAGCCATCCACCTGAAGTGGATGCTCCAGGATTTTTTTTTCCACGCTCTTTGCATGAAACTTCCAGAGTTCTGTGTTTGATTTTCTGKGTTTTCCCCACTCGTTCTTTTCTTTACTCTTCAGCTCGATTTGCATCCAGTCTTTCCAGCATTGCAGGTTGGCAAAGCTGTGTTTGCAGGCATTGCTGTGCCCGTGCAGCCTCTGAGCAATGGGCAGGTGGGAGGAAGGCAAGAAAAACTCCCCTTCCCCTCAGTGAAAGGTGTGCTCAGAGGGATGAGCAGAAAAAAATTGTTTTTTTCTGTGTACCACAACAAAACAGTTAAAAATAATTCTGTRAATAATAATGCAGTTGTTATTCTGTTGGAATACACCCTGGGAGCTCCTGGTGCCACAGCCAGACTGGTGTAGTTTCAGTGCACTTTTTGAGAGACAGACCTGTGGATTGCTCCAAGAGTTCACTCTCAGAGATAATAAAAGTTGTGAGTATGACAGATCTTCCTTCGGAAGAAAATCAATGGTAAAACAATGTTTCAATCTGTAGCCTCAGCAAGTCACTTTTACAATTTACKTTTGAAATCCCGGTTCTGCTCAGAGGTGAAACCTTTTCCATTCACGTTTTATTGAATCACATTATTGGAGTAGTAAGCCAGCGTTGGGAAGGTTTTGTTTTGTTTGTGTAAGGAACTCTTCTAATAACTACTCAAACTCCTCACAGCTGTGTTCTTCGAGTCTGATTTTAAAAAATGGAATTTTTTAYGAGGTATATTTGAATTTTACCATTGGGAAGAGGCTCCTCTTTAGCRTGGAATATACACACTGCAGACTATTTAACTGGAAGCTAAATTTTGGTTTGAGCATATATTTTATGAGTAAGTTACTATTATCACTTATTTTATATGTACTGTTGCAAATAATGTGATGACTTGTACCTCTSTAGGAGTTTTGCAATACTAACACCACAAAGCATTAAACCTCTCTCTAAAATATATGAAAAAAAAAGAAATTACATCAAAATTTTTCTTTGAGARCCACAGACAGAGAAAAAAATAGAGACAGCTGGGTGAAACATGTTTCTGTTGATACGAGAATTCATATTTTATTTTGTCTAGCAATCAAGATGCATTTTTTTTTTCTTTTTAGAAAATAAAAATACATCATTTGATTTCCAGTTTGAAAAAAAACAGAAGCCCTGTGTTTCCACATTCCACGGGGTTTCGTTTTGCCCTCCGATTTTAATTTTGCGCTTGCCTGTCCTGCTTTTAACATGAACTTTGGTGTTGAAATCTGCTGCTTTTGTGAATTTTAGAAGGATAAAAAAGCAACAGCCGTGGCTCTGTGGCTGCTCCTGGCGAGGGCAAGCTCATTTTCATCAGCAGACGGTGCCCTCCTGCTCACTCTCCCTCTGATTTGTCTCATCTGTGGCACAGTCTCCTCTACAGAGCTCGAGCTGCAGATGAAAATGTAGTTCTCAGGCAGAAGGGAACTGCAGTAAAAGTAGTTGTACTACGAGTTCATCCTATGATTAATAGCAAGACTTGCTTAGAAGTTAGTCTTTGATTTCCTCTGTTTAATTGTAGCCCTGAGTGAAATGGGKTTTTGATTTATAGAAAATGCAAAATTGGGTACAGAAAGTTTTAAATTACAGTAACAGTAAAAAATTTCCCACAATAATCATCCCATATTGTTTCAATTCAAAAGAGCTGGGGCTTGATTTGTGTGGGAAAGAACCCATAGCAGCCAAGTTCCACATTTGTAACTGGGGAGAGGGGAGGATCAATTACCCTCTTTTGAGGGTATAAAAATAAGCCTGAACTTCACTTTGTAATGCTTTTATCAAACATTCCCTCTCTGGAAGGGTGTGTGTTGACTAATTAATTTAGAATAGCTCTTTCCTTACATGGATACCATGTAAAAACAAGCAGAAAAATCGTGTTTGAACACACAAGAACATTGGTTAAAAAAGTAGAAGCTTTAGGAGCAGCAATGGCTCGTAATGGTGATGGAAAACTGATCTATTCTGTTTTATGATATTTGCTTTATGTGGAATGGTTCAATACACTGTGGAAGTTTTAACAGCCCTAGTTCAATAACAGTAGCTGTAATAATAGCAGTTTAATTCCAGAGATACTTTCTGCAAGTTCTGCATGGCTGATCTCACTTTTGCTGCCCCATAGATATGTTGACTTTTTCTTTCATTGGGCTGCAATGCCTTATGTGTGTTYACAGCACTAATCTTAGATGCTGAAAATCTGGACAGTTCAAATATATTCAATATCACTGAAGTTATTCCAGGGCAAATTACTTCCCTTTAAAGGGGGCGAGACCAAATTCTGCTCTATTTACAGGGGRAAATGCTGAAAAGCACTGATCTGACCAGTGAAAGTTTGCATGTGTGTTCCTGAGSAGTTTTGACCCTTTATATTTGCTTTTTTTTTGTGTACCACAACACAGTTAAAAATAATTCTGTAAATAATAATGCAGTTGTTATTCTGTTGGCCAGATCGATGGTATTTAAAAATCCTGCTTCAGAGTCTCTCCTCACATGCAGTTTTATTTGGAACACACRGAGTTTACAGTTTGAATACAAAATGCTGCTTCTATTCTATTTGATTTGGCATGACCAAGATGTAAAATCTAAACACGAAGCGTAGCACTGGTCCATTTATGAGCATGTTCAAATCGTACCGCACTTCTTGGGTAATTTATTGTTGCAGTATTTTAAAGTCAGGTAAGCTCTGCGTTTCTGCTCTAGCCTGACAGTTTAATCAAGATACAAATTTAGAAACAAATCAGCGCTGTCTTTTATATAGTGCCTCTAAATCCACGGTAATTGGTACCAGACCTCGGCAAAGGAAAGGATCACTGCTTCATGCTACCAATACCAGTGGGTGTTGCTCCCCAGCTGCATCTCATAAGAGAAGATGGGAGAGAAATGAAAGCATCCCCACGTGCATTTTTGTGCCATGTACCTTTTACAGAGCGCGAGGTCGATGGAAAATTCCCCTGGAATAAACAGAGCCACATGTTCTGCACGCTCCAACTCCTACCTTTGGAGAGCGCTGGGCAGCTCCCAACTCAGCTTTTTTCACTCAGAACATTCAAAAAACTTAAAGCTCCTGCTCTATAAGCTCAGAGCGGGGAGGGGAGAACTGCCAGTGCCCTCCCTGGCAGAATTTTGGGGAGCTGAACCATTCCAGGGCATCCTTTGCAGCCCCAGGCTGCGCTCGTGTCCCAGCTATAGGCTGAGGCTGTGTGCGCTGGCAGCACAGATGGAGTGTGCTCTCATTAGGACTGTTTGTTGCCTGTTGGAACACACAGCATATTTCTACCGTGGCACCAACAGTTTTCTAGGAACTGAGGTCAAAATAAACAGGTTGCAGTTGGATTCGGGAACAGTCTGGGAAGSAACTTGGAATTCCCTGCTTAGGAATAACCGTGTTCCAGGGTAGGTGGGTGAAAAGGCGTTCTCGGAGTGAGGGTTCATCCGAATTGATGCTGTGATGTGTGCAGAACAGCACGGAGCTGCAGGGGCAGAGTCTCTAAATGTTCTACAGCTATCTGTGCATGTGTGCAGAATTGGCTTCACTTTAAAATTCAAGCACAGCTCTCCTGCATGGTTTCTTTGTGGTGCTCGAGCCAAGTGGAATCGATGTCCCCGTGCTTGTTTGGAAGGTGCCAGTTGTCACCAGGCCTCTGCCCCTGAGCAGGGCAGAGAATCTCTGGCAATGCTTCTGGCAGCTGCTCCGAGCTGCTGCTGCCCCAAACTACCCAAGCCACCCTTTCCCTGGGGATCAGTGCTTCCTCAACAAAACCCACCCCTGAGTTGCCTCCTTGCAATCCCACAGGTCTGGAATCTCCTGTCTCCCTCCAGAGCCTGCCCAAGGTCTGAGCCCGTGGATTCAGCGTGGAGAGCGCTCATCTGCAGCAGCCAGGTGGAGAAAAGGGACTGGGAAAAAGGAGCTGTGTTGTGTGCCAGTGGGATCCACAGCATCCCTTCCACCAGGGGTGAGTATTTATGGGATCAGCCCATCCACACATTCACATTCCAGGGGACACCCCCTCGGCAGGGATATGAGCAAAAGCAGGGTTGGATTTACGGTGTTTAAAAAGCCAGCAGAATTTTATGTAACGGGGCAAATCCTTGTGATGATTTTGGCTTGAGTAGAAATGTAAATAGATTTGCTTCCTGACAGAATCAGCAACAGTCACTCGGACGGGTTTGTTCATATTTACCTGGCCACAGTTCATTTACAGCCAAAGGAACTATCTCCTGTTTGCTGAGCTGCAAACACACAAAGGCACAGCGAGCTACTAGATATTAGCAGATGTTCTCATGGGTTTCATTAGAAAAAGTTCTCGTGGGATTTGGGCGTTTTTTGGTGGGGAGGGTTAAATGTAACTCTAGTTTCAGTGGTTACAATTAGAAAACAAAGTACTTTTTTTGCTTTTCAGAGATGAAACGTTATTGAGCTGTATGGTATGCATAACAGTAAATGGCTAGTACAGATATGTGTAGTGAGCAGTGAAAAGAGGGGTCAAAAGAATTACAAAAATTTTGAAGACTAATATAGAAAGATGTGTATAATTCTCTAAAAGGAAGGGTAAAGAAGAAAGCCTTCCTGTGTTCTTTGCTGCTGCCAGTTTTCTGCTGCTGCCACTCTTCCTTCCCACGCCACAAAAAGCTCAGTGGTCAGAATTACAGCCACAATAATCATATTATCCTGCCTTACTTTCCCATTGTGACAGGGAAACAGCACTCCTAGAGCACCTTTTTCATGGGATGATCTTGCTGTCTCCACCAGGTTCTCTTGGTTCTTGCTGCTTTTCTACACCCCGTGCACAGTGTGGTGACATTGTGCCATTCCCCCTGGCCCTGGCAGGTYCTGTGCACCCCATTCACCCCAAACCAGCCCCTGTCCCTGCTCACACACATCTGCTGAGTCTCCTCACTCACTGTGAGTGCAGTTGGGAGCTTTCTCCTCCCCCTGCTTTTCAGTTGGCTCTCAGAGCCCATCGCAGATGGTCTGTACCTCATACATAATAAAGATTTATTTTTTTTTCCCTTCTCAGGCGGGTTTCTGTGAATGTGAGAGGCAGACAGTCTGGCAAGCTTAGACCTGTGTTTTTATATTTTTTTTTTCTAAGTGAGCCTTGAGGGATTTGTTTGCCGTCGTTTGGAACCCCTCAATAGCTTATGGAGCTCGGGAATATCTTGGTTCCAGAGGCTGCAACCTGATTTATCCATTTGATATTAGGGGAAATTATACACATTGGCAAAATGGAGTTAGGGCCCAGCTGAACAAGACAAAGAAATTAAGCAAAAGTATTCCAGGAACTAAAGGACTATGAGGATAAAATGAATATGGTAGTTTTGTGCTAACTGTGTGTAATTTTGGGGTCACCTGCTATGGCTGTGTATTTGCCATTACACGTGAGGTTTTTGTTCACTGAGTTCCCTCTGTGCTGTTTTTAGACTTGAGCAGTACAGTCTGCATTCTAAAATGCCCCTAGGGCCCAAGGAACATTTTGAAATGTCAGATGGTTCGGGTTCTAGGTGGCTCAACACTGCTGCAGCCTGGTTCCCTCGTGTGTGGTTGTGTTGTTGTGGTGCTCAGCTTTCCATAAAAACAGCTCTGTGAGTGGAGATCTGCTCCATGGCCAGGCTGCTCATGGGCTCTGGGTTTCTGTTCTGCCTGGAAGCTGCCACAGGGCTGTTCCTGATCCCTGCATTGTGCTTTGGGACCTGAAAATGGGAGGAAAGTGATGGAAATATATTTATACAAACAGTTTCAGCAGCTGATTTGACCCCAGTGAGAAAGGATATGTCAAGGTCAAGTATGGGGCTATAGGATTTAAAAGATAAGGGGAAAATCAATCATCTAAATTGGATTTTACTCCCAATGAGGAAAACTTTTTCTACAGGTATTTCCCTCCTCTGTTGTGCATTTTAAATGCTGGGGGCAGGGGTTACTCATGGGATAGGAACAATTACAGTCCAAAACCAACCTGTAGAGTATTTGCTAAAATACTTTGGGGTTCTGTTGTCTGAAGCTGACCATCAGCTGGAAGCAGTGCCAGGAGCTGTGGATTCCTGGGTTAATGGTGTGGCATTACTAATTTCAGGTATTAATTCAGAAAAATATTGTCTTGAATTGGGAAATCATGGCATAGTTTAAATGCTGGAAAATGTTAAAGCACTGTGGAGTTTCTTTGCTGRGTGGTTTTTGAGCTGCTGAGGTTTTAAGCATAAAACATGAGAGTTAGGGATATACTTAGTCTTAAAAATTGTTAARTGTCTTGTAATTGCATAACTGCAGAACCCAAGGCTTCAAGAACAATACTGAGTATCATGAAATTGTGATTTGATTTTAATATTAAGCAGCATGTGTGCTGCTGTTGTGAATTTGTGTTTGGTACGTGGGGACAGTTACATTTAGTATTTCATATGTTCTGTTAAATRTAATTGAAATACAAAGATATATTTGATTTTATTAAAAGTTACCTCTCTGTGTATTTGAGATGTGAATGCAGTGTGCAGGCAGCCTTTCTCTTACAGCTAATATTGATATCCTGCCCCAGATACAAAAAAAAAAATCCCCTTACAGACATTCACTGCTTCAGTTGATACATATTTTCCTATTTCTGTGTGGTGAAAGTTGTTCTTTTTATTACTTTGCAGGGTATCAGCCTGGATGTAGTCACCCTGTGAGGAGTTTGAAATGTACAGCAGAAATTGTATTAACCCTGGAAAAGTTCTTGCTCATCTGAAGCATCATTCAAAATGCACGATGGAAGTCACCAAGCAGAAGTTTTCCATCCCACTGTGTGCAGGACTTCTGAGATTTAAGGTAAGATAAATAAAAAGAACAAACTAAGTAGTTGCAAAGTAGAAGCTGATGTAAAGCTTGAAGGTATAAATCTAGGGCAGAGAGGATCCTGATGGTGCATTGACCTGTCTGTAGGAGCAATGGCATTGTGAGAAAATTTCAATGCAATATTTGYTTAAATAATCAAAGCAGAAAGAACAATTAGCCCGAGTTTACTACCCGAATTAAATATMTATAAATGTGTTTATGTATATATAAAGAAATTGCTTGTTTTATATGTGTGACTAAAACAGGAACCTTGTTTTTAAATGCACGTTGGGCACAGTTGTTAATGTTGCAGGTGTTCACATTCAGGGCAGTATRAAACACTGCTCGTGACAAATGACAATAATGGAATGCTCATTTCGTAGCCTTAAGAGTTTGGCCAGGGYCTACAAACAATTATTTTTCATTTGTTTGTAGTCAGACAAGTTTATAATTAAGACAGTAATGGGCATAAGCATTCTTGCAGCCTTTGTARCTCATCTTTCTTGCAAGCATCAAAGAGAATATTTGTGGTGGAATGCATAGCAGCCAGTAATAAGTGTGGGGGAACCAACARCGTGCAGATTCATTTGTTTATTTATTTATTGAATAAAATATGGTTATCTTATTATCCCCCATCCTCCCATGGTCTGTGCCTCTGCAATAAAGGCAAAGCAYGCCTGTTTTCTCTCTCTGCCATCACTCCAAATGCTGTGGGTGAGARTGATGGCTGGACACAAGTTTGTGCYCCTCAGAACAGCAGAGGTACCAATGAACACAGGCAGAGATTTGTGTAACCATGACATCAGTCCTATTTCTGGAAATGGCCACTGGAAATGGCCATTTGGCTGAGGAATCCATCGTGCTGATCTGGAGCTGCGTGGTGGCCCAAGTGTGGATTACATCAAGGAATCCTGGCACGGGCTGATTTGATTTGGTTTTGCATGGGAAGCTGTGTGTCCGTGCACACACGTGTGTAAATCTGTGAAGTTTGGGTTTGTCTGAGCACACAGCCCTGTGTGTGACAGACCTTTTGACTCCAGGGTTGGAGATATTTTGTGCCAGCTCTGAGCAGTTGAGATGAGCTGAAATGTCAGTCTGGGGGGTCACTGGTGGGTGAAAGTTTCCACARCACAGTTTCTCTGAGGGCGCTCAGAATCCATGGTTTGATTCCTGTCACAGCTCAGTCCAAACCTTGTGTTTCTTGGCTGTGAAGCTCATTTATCTCTGCACCATTTGGGGACACCAATTTGGGGCTGTGTATGGCTGGAAAGGCACCTGGGGGTCAGGAGTTTTGAGGACTTTGTAGAGGGATGACTTCTGTTGAAGAAATGCTACCAGTTTGGTGATTTTTGTCTTGGTTTTTGTCTTTAATTAGTGCTGTTAAAAAACTGAGATTTGTATGTCCATATATTTGACACTGAATTTAAAACATAAAGAGCTCATCATAAGAATCTTCTTTTTAAAAATGCAGAGAAAGAAAAAATACCAGTGTGGTTAAGGAGTGGTTGTTCTTGTTAAGAAAACAGTGAGTTATTACTGCTACCTCTGACATGGTAATTCATGTATCTCTTTAGGACTTGACTTCAGAATAAATTGCAAGATCAAAAACTAAATTAAAATCTTCTAAAACTTGATCCTCATGTATTTTTAAGAAGTCACCTATTCCAAGAACTCTAATGCATGAAATCTTGTTAAGGTTGAAGTCTCTGCAGGCTGAAGTTCATTTTTTGAGAAAGAAACACAGTTAACAATAAAATCAGGTAATGCCCAATGRTACTGTCACAAATAGTTAATTAAAATAAATTTGTGGTCAGAATGTCATCAGTGTGTGGGGAGGGCTGAGCTGAGGGGAGGGCTGACCTCAAATTTAACATTTGTTAAATTGCATGAAAGTTAATATGAACGTGTTCAGGTGAAGAAAGAGGTTTAGGATTTTTGGTTTTCCCCTCAGCTGCAGTTTTCTTTTTAATTGCACAAGAAATGGAATAATTTGGGCCTTTCAGGCCCACCTGTGAAAAGCAGATGCCTTTGTACACAAGTGAATCTCACTCAGCTGGTGAGCAATGAAAACACAGAATGGACAGTGCAGTTGCTCCAATATTAAATTGCTCTTGTGAGCCTTTCAAGATGGATTTCTTTCCAGCCCACAGGAAATGACTGATAACCCTTTTTTTTTTCTTTTTTTCTTTTTTTTGTCCCGTAGAAGGAAGATGCTGGGGTAAAAATACAGAATGTAAGATAAGGATTAATACTTAACTTAGATAATTGTAAAGGTGTTGACTTTCTGCAACTAAAATGAGAGTAGTGAAATCAGGGGAGTTAATTGTGGGAGAACCTGGTTGCATCTCACTGTCACTGTTAGAAAACTGCCAAACTTAAAATATTTGGGGTGAGTTTTCAGTGCTGAGTCCATTATTCAGACTTTCTGTTCACTTTTGCTGAGCAGAGGGCAGCCTCGCCTTTGGCATTTCCTAAATTCTGAGAACTTTGTGCTTTAGCTAAAACCTTTTCCTTCTCTAAAGGAAATCTTCATTTGTGCACTCAGCTGGCTGATTCAGTCTCCAGCTGAAAAATGATCAYGAGATGAGTGTGTGTTCCTTGGAATTCAGTGCAGCTTCTGATGGGTTTTAAAAAGCACCGACAGCTTTAGCTGAGCACATTTTATCAGAATGTGGTTCTTTGTCTCTGTACAGGATCCCTGTGCAGGAGGTCCTGTGAGAAAAAACTCCATCAAACATCAGGGGAAAAAAAGGAATTTTATTTTAAGGTTTTAAGGAACAAAAAGATCTCATAAGAAATAGCATAAGAGGACGCTTAAACTTTCTGGGTAACCAGGAGAAAGGTAGAACAGCATGTAATGTTAATTTAAGAGTATTTTGGGCAACTCATGATCTTTCTTGATGATTTTGGTGTAAGTCATGTTCTTTATTTTTCTTAAATGTCTTAATTTTTTTTAATTACTGAACAAGTTACATTACTAATACCAAGTACTTTTGTAGTCTAATATAATAGTATTAGTCTATTATATTATTAGTCTAGCATAATATTGTTTTGCTACTTCCAATAACTTGCTTATATTAGCAATCAGTTAAACCAAATTTTTATATAAACAACAATTAGCATATGTGAATTCTTGTCCCTGGAAGCTCCATATCCAGCTAAAACAAAATGTAAGATAGGTAGATATCAAATAAGCTGATTTTCCTGTATTTGAAGCACCCAGGAGCATCATTTCTCTGTAGGTGATGAAATTTCTTCACAATATCCCATCCAACCCTGCCCTTTGGCAGTGGGAAGGCATTTCCCATTTTCCTGTCACTCTGTTTTCAGGTGGCCCAAGAGGAGGGACATTGGTTTTTAAAGAAACCTGGTTCAGATGCTGAGCAAAGCCCCACAGTTCTGGGGTCACATTTCCAGAGATTTCAGGCACTTCCAGCCCCGTGTGTCTGTCAGGGGATTGTAGCAATCCTTGAGATGGGTGGAAAATGGGATGAGGTGGAATGTTAAAGGAAGACAGTGGAGCCTTTTTGCAGGTATATCTGGTATTCTTTGATCAAATCTAGGCATGTGATACTCAGGATATGATTCTTACATTTTGTTAAAGGTTTTTTTTAATTTTTTTTTTTTTTGATGGGAGGGAGCTGCATCCGCTAGGTGAAAACTCCAGAGTGCAGACTGTTGTTGAAAAAAGTAAGTTTTAAGGACATGTTTCCAGTGTAAATGTGGAACTGCTTGTCACAGGCTGCCCTAAATCCATAGGTTCATGCAGGTCTGCTACAAATACTGCTGATAGTAGGGTAATGCAAAAAAATCCCAAAAATGGGATCTTTCTCCCATTTCTAGATATGGTTTAGCAGCCTGGAGTGATTAATCAATACCATTAATCAATCCTCAGCTCCCTTTGGAAGAGCTTCACAAATAACAGACAAGTTTAGGCTCCTGGGATGGTTGGTGTAATCAGGACATGTAAAACTGGTTTTGTACAACTGGGCTTCAAGCAATTACCTGGCCTCTCTGCCCCCTTTTTTTTTATAATTTCAGTATTATTGGGCAAGGAAATAGCGAGTAGTGTGTTCACAAAATTCAGATTTAGTAAACTGGCTACAATAAGTGGTCATTTAAAAAAAGGCATGAAAGAATAAATAATGTCAATGTGCCATTCACTCTGGAACAGGCACTGGGACTGACACAACTTGCTTTGGATAAAAAACCCTCGCTGTGTGGATTGTGCCATGAAATGGTTGGCATCCCAAAGTCCTGACAAGTGTGTGKGTTGGCAGGAATTGCAGCTGGAGGTGCCTGTGCAGCTGAGTGGAGGTTCCCTGCCTGGGGATGTTGCAGATGCCATTCCCTTGCCTTTCTTTCTGAAACAAAGCAAGCTCGGGCTCGTGTTCCACTTTGTAACAGGAACTGCTGCATTTGGTTTTCTTTGAGTCTTTTCTGACACTGGGTTTTTCATGTGCCCACTTCTCCTTTTTTTTTTTTTTTTTTTTTTTTTTTTTTTTGTTTTGTTGTTTTGTTAATAAATCAAATCTGACTACAAGGTCTTTTTTCCTCAAAACCACAGTAAGGGCCGCTTGAAAAAGCGTGAGCCTCCCAAATTTTTTACCCTCMAGAGGAAATAACTGATTTTTTTGTTTGTCTTTGATCCAGTCTCATCAACGCAATTTTCCTTCTTCAAACAATTGAGCCTGCACTTCATTATGGTGCAAGGCCGGAACCCTTCTATTACCTTATTTTTAGCAACAATTAAATGGAGCCTTAAAATCGCATTTGGGAAAAGCAAGGCCTGCACCGATCCCAAATYTTAGAGCTCAGCTTTTCAAATTTCCTCTCATTGGGGCTTTCAGGAGGGGCAGCAGCAGATTGGAGCCCAGCACTTTGTCCTCCTGGATGTGAGTGGGGTTGGGTGGTGGATTGGTGGCATCAACAGTCAACTGAAACATTTGGGGACCCCAAAAAATGAGTGAAATCCTGACACCCTCTGCCAGCAGCAGCAGGGACACGGCGTGCTCTGCTCCTGGGGGCCTCTGTCTGTTCATCAGAGCTTTTGTGCGTGATTAAAACGTGATTTCCCTTCAGCTCGTGGAGGCAGAGGCTCTCAGAGGTGTGAATTAACTGTGTCTGCTGCTGAGTCAAAAAGCTGTGCTGCAGGACAGAGAAATGACTCTGCCGGGGGATTTGGTAGGCTCAAACTGCCTCCAGAATTTTTCAAGCAGGAATATTTGTCTGCAGTTGGGACTCCTTAGGAAATTTGCCATTAGAGAATGTTGCAGTCACCCTAAATATGGCTGTTAGAAGTCTAAGAAAAATTTACTAATTAAGCCAGAGTGGAGTGGGGGAGAATACTCCAGGAGATTTGRAGATGTCTGTGATAAAAACCTCCTGTCACAGTGGCTGTGGCAACACAACTGGAACTGAGAAAGAGGAGCATGGTTTGAAACACAGGATGTTTTACTCTTGTTGTACCCAACTGAGTTATCCACATATTACAGGCAGTAAAAGCTCTCTGAATACTGAAGCTCTCTGAATATTAATCTCGCTGCAAAAATATGGAGCCCTYATGTTATTTACCTAGCATGGTGTGCATGGAAACATGGCTAGCATCAGGCAGGCTGAGAGACCCACAGAGAGAAAAAAAATCTGATTAATGGCACCCAGAAATGGGCAGAGTAACCCTCTGCMAGGAACCAGACCCTGAGAGTGCAGAACTGCCAGCCCAAGGTTTCAGAGGAAGAGCTGTGTCTGTACCAAAGGGCATAAAAATGACAAGGTTGAAGGCGCAGCTTCCTTAACATTTTCACCAACTAAATGAAAGAGTGAAATAAAGTTGCCAGGAATGAATACACAAACCYTGAAACAGATGGGGAAAATATTTGAGGAAAATGTACAAGAGGTAGCAGAGGGATACTTTTCTCTAAAGCCCAAAAGTAAGGAGCAGAGCAGAGGAGAGATGCTTGCAGCGGAAAATTCTGGCRTGCACATGTATGTTGGAGACATGAAAGATCTCCTAATTAGAGACAGGATCATTTGTGGGACATGTGATTCCAGTTTACAGGAGGAATTGCTGAGAAAAAGACATCTAACCCTAAAGGAATGAATCAAAGAACGAGAGCAGCTGAGCTGTCCAGGGAAAGGAGGAAAAGCACGGCCACGGGAGAGAGGGAAGAGAGGGATGAGCTGTGAGAAATGCACAGAAGTGAAGTAAAATTTGGGGCTGCTGGGAAGGGTTTGGGTCAGCTGTGGGAAGGGTTTGGGCTGTGGGAAGGGTTTGGGCAGTGGGAAGGGTTTGGGTCAGCTGTGGGAAGGGTTTGGGCAGTGGGAAGGGTTTGGGCAGTGGGAAGGGTTTGGG